TCATCGGCTCTCAATTTATTTCTGAAATATTAATTCAATTTAATTGAATGTATATTAGATAGTAGTTCAACATCTTAACACTCGGACCGGGAAGGCGCTTTGTATTTAAAGTTATAATATTTATATAGACGGTCTTGTTTCTAATCATATTGTTTAATGCTTAAATAATTCAATATGAATTTGTATATACTATACAATATATTATGTACATGTATATATATCGTACTTGTCATTTGAACTGCACGCCGAAATTTTATCGGACTTAAAAACGCAGCTAAACTATCGAAATAAATATCCCGATTAAATTTTAACGCTCAATAGGCATCTATTAAGCTCTTAATATGCTGGAAATTAATAAATAAATCTATTTATTGTGAAAAATATTATCTCGGCTAGGAGTTGTATCCGGATTTCTAACATTCCGTGCGAGATTCTAAATTTTTAGACTACCGAGATTTTTATAGTGAAGATAAAAAAAGAAATAATGATACTACATATTAAAAATTATATTAACACTTATTTGGATAATTTAATACTTAAATTAAACAAATTTTTGTTCAAACAAATTTTTAATTCCGCCAAGACGGATATGATTAGTAGAACTTTTTAAATCCTACAACTTTTTTCTGAAACATTTTTCTTGAAAATGTGTACTTTTCAAGATATTTAAATTTAAGGCGTTCGGGTATACTTTTTGTACACCCTGTATTTATTGAAATTGATATAATATGTTAACATTGTATCAGTCCAGTTAGTTTAATATACCTATATTCATTAAATATTTATAATTACGTTTCTTTTATGTGTTACCGATTAAAAAATTATTTTTTTTTATACAAAATCGCGATAAAAAAAAAACCCATAAATTTCGAGTTTTTTTAAGTAGGTAAAACCCAAAAAACCCCCTGGGTTTTTTTGGGGTGGGTAAAATAATGCCAATCCTGGCAGAACCCGGGGTTGGAAAAACCCGGGGCTTTTTTAAAAAACTCAACCTACTGGATTTTATGAGGGTTTTATTGGATTTTTGGGATTTTTTAGGGGTTTTTTTAAATAAAATTAATTATTTGATTTTTTTCACGTAATATTTAGTTTACGTTGTATTTATTACGTTGTATTATTTAATTATTCAAATAAAATTAATTATAAATAAATTTTGTAAAAAT